GTGTGTGTGTGTGTGTGTGTGTTCCTTTTGGTGAATAGTCATGAGAGCCTTGCCTGACAGCATTTGAAATAAAGATGTATTGCAGAATGCTAAGAATTTCTGGGATCAAGAGAGTAACCAGTGAAGAAGTACTAAAGAGAATGAATAAAGACCATGAAATGTAGCAAGCTAGAAAAAGTCTGTCATATAATGAGAAATGAAAAGTACATATTATTAGAGCTTATCATTCAAGGAAAAAGAAATGGGGAAAGAATTGCACAATGAAGAAGAATTTTCTGGTTGAAGAATCTAAGAGATTTGTTTGGATGCAATCCAGCATCGTAGTTTATTGCTATAGCATCCAAAACCAGGATGGCCATGATGATGTCCAACTTGCAGTGCAATGACAAGGAACGCAAGACTTCCAGGAGCAGCATTTTCCCCTTTTCCTCTGATTTTTTTTCCTTGCAGAGGAGTGCATTGGAGGGCTCAGGGCCCAAAAGAGCAGATAAAGCTTTGCATGATTCCCACCCCTAGTATACTGGCTGTTGACCAAGGGAAGGGCAATATCTCAATGGCAGAGCATATACAATGCATTCAGAAGGCTTATTCATGTGCTGGCAACTTTGCAGCAAACCAGTTTCCTGTATTGCCAGCTCTGTTAAGTTGTCCCTCATCCCTCATAATTCATATACTGTATGCCCCTTTCTCTATTCAGAATTCTTGCCTCTTCCAGACACATCCTCAAAACCACCTCTTCCTTTAAATTCCTTTTCTGCTCATCTTCTCCACCCTCCCTAGAGGTAAATGCATCTTCTGTAAACCACAATCTGATCATCTTGGCTTTGGTGCCAAAACATTTCCTTCCTTTTTCAGATTCCTCCTTCCCCAGTTGCCTTAAAACATAATATAAACCTAAAGGCGGGCACAAGACAGCAGCCAAAAAGCACTTGCCGTATTTTTCCGTGTATAAGATTACTGCTTTCCCCTCCACTATCTAAGCCCCGCGAAAGCAGGATCAAAGGGCTGCGGAAGTGGAGGGGGAAAACAGCGACCTTAGGACGTGGAGGGAGAAAGCAGCAATCAAAGGGCTGCAGGATTGCAGCCTTTTGATCCTGCAGCCCTTTCATCGCTGCTTTACCCCTCCATTTCCTAAGCCCCGTGGTGTGCATGCATACCCCACTCCAGATCCACTTGCAGGCGAGGAGGAACAGCGCCTGCTGCTTCAGATCTGTGAAGCAGCAGTAGAAGCATAAATGGAGGGGGTGGATCCCGGCATGGAGGTGCCTCCAGACCCCACTAATAAGCATAGAGTAGGCAGTTTTGTTACTGCGCGGTTTTCTCCTAAGCTTACATCTGTGTAAAAGATGACCCTCAATTTTTCCTCCAATGATTTTAGGAAAAAAAGTATCATCTTTTACACTGAAAATTACGGTGAGTGCTTAATGCAATGGGTGTAGCATTCAGAAGGCTCTTAAAGTCTGTGGAGAAGCTTGTAAGCATCTTTACACCAAAATATTACAGACAAATGTGAGCAGCAGCCATGCATCCATACTTCAGTTGTACATACTAGCGTACAGGCTAAAATTCTTTATATGTTTCTGCCTCCTCCAGCACCAGCAAGATTATGTGCTTTGGACAGCCTATAGGCAGCCGCTATGAGTAAAGCTGGCCCTAAGATTTTAGAAATAAGGAACCTCTTCCACAGCTTACTCCATATGGTGGGCACTCCAGCACCCTTTTCCTATTATTCTTGTTAGTATTATTATTACAAAAATGGAAGGAACATTTGGTCCCTAAGAAGAAAACAGAATTCCATCAGGAAGGAGAGAGGTACCTTTCTTAGGGCCAATTCCATAATAATGTGGATTCCACAATAATGTGGAATGTTCTGGGTCCTCCAGAATTATTCATCATGTTAGATGGCTAAAATATGGAGAAGGGAGGGGTATGGAAGTCCAGAAAGTTGTGTACATGAGTGTTGTAGTTAAGCTCAGTCCTAAAATGGAAAACACGTTAGGTGTGCAGGTATCAGATTACATCTAGCAATGCAGACAGAAACCACCCTGAAAAAAAAACAAGGCTGGTTCCAGCTCAGAGGTCTGCCCCTTAAATACAGGCATTGTCACATGTGAATATTTGTATTAATACTATTATACCATTCTCTTTGTCATGGTGCAGGATTCTCCATATATGTTTGCAGTTAATAACCCCATTCTTATCTGGAGTGAGATAAATAATCTCTACCTTTAAATGAATCCCATTTCTTACATGCTTGCTCTTTTGAAATTAATGTGACTGAATTGGAATTTCTGGATGACCTTTTCAACTTATATGAATACTAAATTTGATAACATAGTACTCAGTGTTCCCAGGGAATACAACAACATTTATAAAATTTCATACAGAACCCTGACCACCATAAGCCTTGGTGTCAGACCACCCTCAGTTGAAAGTGCTGCTGCTAAATGCCAGGTCAGTAAATGGAAAAACAACAGCCATCCAGGACTTGAGCCTGCATGAGCATGTTGGCCTGGCTTGCATTTCACTCAGCTTTGACCACCAGCCAAAAAAAAAAGTTCTTGCTGTAGCAAGAAACACCTGAGGGATGTGGAGGTGGATTTCCACTGGTCTATCATGATCCCCCTCACCAGCTGTCACTGCCCCCAGTTTTCTGGGTTTGAATCTGTGTATCTGAAAGTGGGATGGAGACTACAGTGACAACAGTGGAAGATTTGGAGCGAATCCGACCGAACATGAGCTAAGGCCCATTGGAAAGCCTGTTCTGTGGCAGTGGCAGTGGCAAAGAAGACGTCCTCCTCTCCCACCACAGCATCTGCATAGAATCATCTGGCAGATCTCTTTCAAGTAGTCAAAGGCGCCTATTACATGCTGGTCCGCAAGAAAAGAATGCAGACCACACTGTAACCTGCTGTGAAGAATTTACGTGACATAAAACAATAAGTCTCAGTAAGGAAATAGTTTGTTTTATTTAAAAGAAACAATTAATTAACTAAGAGCCCTTGCTATTTCTAAAAACATTACTTTGACTTCAAAAGATAGTGACTAATGGCTTCTATAATATTCCTTTTGTTCCGTTTGATTACAGGATCACAACTACAGCAGCTTGCATGATGGATTTAAGGAGATATCCATTAGATGAGCAGAATTGTACACTGGAAATAGAAAGCTGTATGTATATTTACAACGTCTTATTTTACGAATTTCATTCACGTGAAATGTTTTACATAAAATAACAATTTAAAATATATTAACCTAAATCCTAATGCCAATCCCAGCTAGAGCAGATCCACTGAATCAGTTGTTCAATTGTGAAAAACACTTCAGTAAATTTCATTGATTCAGTGGATCCACTCTCATTGGGACTACAAATAGGATTCTGGCCTGAGTTACTTAGGTACATGATTTTCCATTCACATTCATAACCCTATGGTACAGCCTCTGAGTTAGATCAAGTCTGGAGCAAAGCTCAGCATTCTTAAGCATGTGCCTAAACTCACATACCTAGAAGGTATGATGGCAAAACCCTGGGATCCCCTATTTACTGTTGCAGTCTATTCATCTGCTGTCTCTAAGCAGTGGCAGATGTAGATTTTGGGGACCTTAAGCTTGAACTGTTATGGACACCAACAAGGTCTGGTCGACTACTGTTGTCTTCTCCAGTTGGGCTGTTCCCTGACAGATCAACACAATTTTTTTAAAGTGGACTAAAATTGCTTCTGGGACCCCTCCAGGGTTAGGAACCCTAGCTTAATCTTCATTAGTTTCATAGTAGTTAGTTTCCATCCCTGTCTCCAAGATAGCAAATAGTGTTAGGAGCAAGGAGAAAGAATGGTAAAAGCCACTTACCTTGCCCTCTCCCTCTGGGTCTTGATATGAATTGGAACCAGAATCACAAACAAATAGGGTGCAGCGCACGCACGCACGCACGCACGCACGCGCGCATGCGCGCACACACACACACACACACACACACACACACACACACACACACACTCCAAACCTGAAGCCAACACTGTGGGATAACACCAGATAAAACAATGCATTCATAATTATTTGTTTACATTGTAAGTTGTAAAGAAGGTTAAATATGTTAGAAGGTTTAACAAAGGTTAGAAATGTTTTTCATTGGAACGAATATAATTTGAAAGATCTTCATTGTTATATATGGACAAACAAGGCTTTGTCATGTGGCTTCAGATCAGCTGCAGTTAAGAAGTGCTTAATGTGAATTTAACTGTTTTTACCCATTGTATAACCCTCCGTTTTCACTCTTTATATATGGAAAAATTAAGTTCCTATCGTATGTTTTCCAATCTGTTGTAGAAAAAATATATATATAATCATGGAAAAAAGAGATGCCAGTCTGATTAGACTGGAGCAATGACTTGATGTTTATCTGCAGCAGAAGAGAACTAGTGTTCATGTTTTAATAAGATTCACTTTGAAGAAATCAAGCACTGAGATGCAATTTTCTTTCAGTGTACTTTATTATGGATGAGTGATCTTGCTAAGGCTCCCCTGGGCTGTCAGATAGACCTACTTATGATTAGAAATTCAGCTCCGTATCATAAGTAGAATCTCTGTCTTTTATCTAGTTGTTTTTTGTAATTGGAGTATTCATATTACTTAAATTTGTAATTTAATATATATAATTTGTAATTTGTAATATAAATTTGTAATTTAATATTTGTAATTTAATATATATAAGGGACGTGGTGGCGCTGCGGGCTAAACCGCAGAAGCCTGTGCTGCAGGGTCAGAAGACCAAGCAGTCGTAAGATCGAATCCACGCGACGGAGTGAGCGCCCGTCGCTTGTCCCAGCTCCCGCCAACCTAGCGGTTCGAAAGCATGCAAATGCAAGTAGATAAATAGGGACCACCTCGGTGGGAAGGTAACAGTGGTCCGTGTCTAAGTCGCACTGGCCACGTGATCACGGAAGATTGTCTTCGGACAAAACGCTTGCTCTATGGCTTGGAAACAGGGATGAGCACCGCCCCCTAGAGTCGAACACGACTGGACAAAAATTGTCAAGGGGAACCTTTACCTTTACCTTAAATTTGTATTGCAAGGGCCACCACTTTTTTTTTCCTGCAATTTAGTGGATACGGAGAATTTCTACATATTTAAATGATCAATGCACACTCATAAACACTTTTGTGTAAATTGCATGTTGTCAGCTCCCACTTGTAATGACGTTAATAGGAACTTTGCCACATATTTCAAGAAGAGAACTAGGCCATGTGTCTGAAATTTGTTTCATAGCTATAGTCATACTATTTGTGTGTGTGTTCTGCAAAGGACTTGAGGACTTTTCACTCTACTTTAGTTAGTTGAAGTGGTTACAGAGCTACCAGCAATGGCTGCTGTGCTGGCACTGCAAGACTTTCATGGATTATGAAGATTGGGTAGCTTTCACCTTACTTTCAGTGCAACGTTTCATTTTTAAAAAACAAAACCTATTCATCAGGAAACCTTTCCAGCACTTCTGGTTTTGCTTCAGTGTTGACATATAAGTGTAGATAACTGAAGCATACTGTAGATACTGGCTATATTATTCTAGGAGGAAGTTCCTTTACAGGGGGAATTTGTGTAAAGATAGGAGTGTATATGATGAAAGTCTGCTTCCCAGTGAAATCTTAATGAAATATTTCCATCAGTTTTTCTCTATTTGATCATTAGCTCCTTTGTTTTCCCACTCCTTTTTGTAGGAGCTTATTCATGCATATTGAATGATCCCAGCCAGTTAGGGACTTCATGGCCCATGCAATGATATCATGACATTATGAAGATACCATATAACCAATCACACTTGATTCTAGCACTACCTCAGATAGATCATTAAGGGCAAAATGCAGTATTATATTTTGCTGATGGAACTGCTTCTATCAGAGGAACTAGGAGGGGCTCGTTTCTCTCTCTGCAGCATCCCACTTTCTCTGAAATCTAGCTCCATAGAACTGTGAAAACTCAGAAGCATGTTTTTCAGTGGCATCAATGGGAGAGGGGAAAGGAGAAGAAAGTGTTGTTTCAGTAGCAAACATCTGCTACTTCAATGTTGGATTTCAGCCAGAGTTGGCATAATGCTTCGTCTCTTTATTCTGAACTACTGAAAAGTGTGTTATTTTTCATGGGGTGAAACTGTTTCTGAAAAGAAATTCCTGTTCTGCCTCACCTTGACTTCCTTTATCTTTATACTTATTGTGTAAAGGCTTATATTATTGTTCAAGGTAAATTCTTCACAGTTAGGCAAGAACAAGCATGCAATAGGTACCTGCTAACATCTTGAGAAAATATCATTACTGCATGAATTCTTAGAAGGAAGCCGGGGTGGGGGAAATAGTTTTACCTCTCTAAATAGAAACAATCAGACAAACACTCAAGCAAAGATAGCTGACATATCTAATGATTAGTTCTTTCAATCTTGGGAGACAGCAAATTTGAGGAGAAGAGACAGAATTAAGGTCTAATAGGGCCATGGGTGGTTTTTATTGTTTCTACAGGACATTAAGCCTTTGCAATCTAGTAGATATACGTATTATTAGTCAACAAAAATATGTATGTGCAGAATACATGTGTGTCCACTATGCTGGTTGGGAGGGTGGATCTTCTCTGAAGATCAATGAGAAATGAATAAAACGTTAGCTAGAAAAATAACCAAGAATTTTGCATTCCGTCTAGCAACTGTCAATACTATATTTTGGAAGTCAAGACAATAAGTAGTTCATATTTGTATTTCATTGACAGATGGATACACAACAGATGACATAGAATTCTACTGGAGAGGTGGGGAGAATGCAGTAACTGGAGTGGAGAGAATTGAACTTCCTCAGTTTTCTATTGTAGAATACAAACTTGTGTCCAGGAATGTTGTTTTTGCCACAGGTGAGTATTTCTTACGGTTTGAGTTTTCAACATCGATTGCATTATTTCAATTTCCAACATTCATTACATTCTTGCAGTTTCCAGCATTAATGTAAAACACCTTTGTGTTTTCATAAGATTGTCAATACTAAATGATTAGTACTGGGTAGTCACATCATAGCTTCAAAACTTTGGTATTAGAGTGGCTGAAATAAATTAACTGGTATGTTCTGTGTTTCCATAATATGTCAGAGTGAAAGATAGAAAGATAACATCCAAAGCTAGTGCATGAATTAGAAAAATTGGTTGGGCTCAGACTGTCAGCATGATTCTAGCATGAGGCCAAGGGATCCTTTTAACTGGAAATGTAAAAGAATGAGGGTACAGTCAGACCGGGATTATGCTGGAAAGGGTTGCTTCACTGGGTGCAATCTCCTTTAAAGTGACCCTTCTGTGCACATGCAATCTGATCCCCATTGCTCCAGCCCAGGTTGTAGAATTAATTGATTAATTAAGAGTAGCCCTGCTATTTAGCCAGAAAGATCCAAACTGGGCTCAGGGCAGGGCTGAGCTAATTCGCAAATTCCCTGTACATTGTGTAGCCACCGGAAAATAACTCAAATTTGACTGTGTCACAAGTGGTCCAGAAGGCAAACTATTTCACCATTTGATCACATCTTGAATCTCTCTATGGAAAGCATGTGTGCTGCCATCAGTTCCTATCTAGTTATGGTTTATGCATAACTCTTAGTTTGGGAGTAGGGTGATAAAACTGAAGAGGCTGTTACAAATGGTAACAGAATACTTGAAGGACAGATGTTGACTGAAAAAAAGAGAGATTCATTACAGTATATTGATTGATGAGCAGCTTTCTCCTGCAATTTCCCCCCTTTTTAAAGTGTTAATTATGCTAATCAGTGAAGTAGCATAGAAATATCTACTGAGGTTTTTTTAAAAAAATAAGTGTTATGGCTTTTTTATTATGTTCTTTCATGATTTATTGCAATTTTTGGTCTGCTTTAAAATAATCGTATGATATCTGTTGCAAAGATAAAAAGGAAAGAGCTGTGGCATCTTAAAGACTAACAAATTAATTTTAAGTGTGAGCTTTTGTGGATCACAGTCCATTCCTTCAGACTCACTTCCTTTGTTTTATTTTAATGCTATACCTGCTGAAACAGACCGAGACAGTCTACCTTGCTCGAAAATGTAGACAGCCTCTTTCGTAACTGTTTTATGAATTCACATAATGAATGAATAAATATTTGAGGACTGTGTGAAAATTGTACCATCCCCATCTGTCTGTGACTACTATAGCTATAGTGTGAACTGAAAGAAGAGGGATGCCTTCCATTGAAGCATGGCAAATAAAAGGTGTTAGTCTTTAAAGTGCCATGGGACTCTTGGATAGATCATTATGTTTCACACAAAATTTCAAGACTTTCTGAAAGAACTTTTCCACACAGATAGATTTCTGAATACCACCCTTTAATTTCAACCTGAGCATCCTGTTAGTCATTCAGTGTTCAATAGATATGAAGTCTATCAAATATAAATTTTAAATAGAACCCTAATATATTCTGTCTGATTATTGATATCAATATGTATATTTAATTAAAAACGTAATAGAGAATCATGGATTTAACTCCCTTTCTAATAGGTGCCTACCCAAGACTGTCGCTGAGTTTCAAACTAAAGAGGAATATCGGATATTTTATACTTCAGACCTACATGCCCTCAATACTGATTACCATTTTATCATGGGTATCCTTCTGGATCAATTATGATGCATCAGCTGCAAGAGTTGCTCTTGGTATGGAATAAGGATACATGGAACATTATTTAATACATCCTCTTTCATATAGGTTGCTAGAGTTTGCCACATCTTAGTATTCTGATATCAGTTATATGCAAACCATGTTGTTTTGGATTGATTCAACAACAGGACACTCAGTGGTGTCAAGATATTTGCAAATTATCTACTCTGAATTTTTGAAATGAGTGAAATTCTCTTCCTTTCAAAGTTGTTACGTGCTGAGAGTGAGTTTGCAGGAGGACAGTTCCCTCTGTAATCACTGAGTTTTGTGAGGTCCTGTGAATCACGTTTTTTCCTGCAATTCTTAAAGGGTGTGTTTTTGTTTTTGCAAACAAGCTATTACAAACCATGGACAATTTAGAGTAAATCTGTATGCTTAAGAACCATTTGTTTCCTTGCAATATTCTAGATGTTGGATTCTCTCCAACTTGACAGTCCTGTTATTCTCTCTCATGTGTAAATGTATAGCATTAGTAAAACCAGTTGTTTTTAAACATATTTGCCCACCCAAAGCAAGAGAAGCACAGTGCTATAATCAGGTGACCAAAGAAAAAACCATGTAGTCTAACTAAATATGAATTACTCACAGTAACTAAATTTTCTTAAAGTTTTTATATCTCTTTAAATATTGACCAAATTTCAGTAGATACAGAGTACATTTAATGAAAACACTCAAATCCACCAGGAAGCTGAGCGATCTTGCTAGAACATGTCCGGTTTGTATGGTCCATTTCTTCTTCATGGAAGGCTCCAATAAAGACTTTAATCCCACACCTTCCTTTGTAACAGAGTTTTTCTTAGATAATGGCTTCAGTTCCTTTGTTGAAGCTTAGAATGTCCCAGCTAACCAGGATGCTTGCATGAATTTCTGTTTTCGGTTTCTTTGTCAGAACTGGGGACATGAGTCTTATCAGTAAAGGATCTAAAACATAAAAATGCAAACTCATTTCCAGAAAACTTCAAACAGTATCCCTTTGTTATCATCACATTATTATTCCCATCCACAGACTTCTCAGGAGAGAAAACTCACTGGACAACAGTTCACACCCACTCTCAAATACCTTCAGAGCATTTCATTGTAGCTGTTGAACTAATTTCACAAATTATTTTAAAGTGAGGGTACAGATATAGTACAAGAGATACAAACATAATTCCTCACTCCATAAACCAAACTCATAAAAAAGTATGTAGTCAATATTATTTTTCAAACCCTTTGGAATAAGAGATTTTAACCTGAATATCTATGCCATTTCCTGTGGTAGGAGACTTTTGTATATTGCTTCCTCACTTGTCTTTGTCGTCACATACAGCACAAAGAATTTAAAGGTGTCGTCTTTGTGACCCATTTCTACAAAATAACTCATTAATGGCATGTCCATCACTTTGTTCCTGATCCTTTATAGGTGTTCTTGCATCCTGACGTTAACTAGCTTCGTCATGTTCAAAAACATATGTGTTGATGGAAATAATATGTATGTGACAACAAGATTGTAATAAAGGGATACGGTTTCAGGTTTTCTGGAAATGAGTTTATATTTTTATGTTTTAGATCTTTTACTGATGAGCTTCAACAAGGGAACTGACCTCATTATCCAAGAAAAACTCTGTTAGAAAGGAAAGTGTGGGGGTTAATTGGAGTTTTCCATGCACAAGAAATGGGCCATACAAACTGGACGCATTCTGGCAAGACCTCATAGAATCATAGAATAATGACATTTGAAGGGGTCTATAAGGCCATCGAGTCCAACCCCCTGTTCAATGCAGGAATACAAATCAAAGGATATCTGCCTGGTGGTTATCTAAATTTCTCTTGAATGCCTCCAGTGTTGGAGCACTCGCCACCTCTCGAGGTAATTGGTTCCACTGCCTTACTGCTCTAACAGTTAAGATGTTTTTCTTGATATTCAGCTAAAATCTGGCTTCCTGTAACTTGAGCCCATTGTTGTGTGTCCTGCACTCTGGGATGACTGAGATGAGATCCTGCCTTTCCTCTGTATGACAGCCTTTCAAGTATTTGAAAACTAGGCTAAACATGCCCAGTTCTTTCAGTATTTCCTCGTAGGGCTTGGTTTCCAGCCCCCTGATCATCTTTGTGGCTCTCCTCTGCACTCATTCCAATTTGCCAGCATCCTTCTTGAAGTGTGGTGTCCAGAATGGCCTAACCAGTGCCAAATAGAGGGGAACTAGTACCTCACAGGATTTGGAGGCTATACTTCTATTAATGCAGCCTAAAATAGCATTTGCCTTTTTTATAGCCACACCAAACTGTTGGCTCATATTCAGCTTGTGGTCTACAATGATTCCAAGGTCCTTCTTGCTTGTAGTATTGCAGCACCAAGTATCCCCCATGTGCCAAATAGAGGGGAACTAGTACCTCACAGGATTTGGAGGCTATACTTCTATTAATGCAGCCTAAAATAGCATTTGCCTTTTTTATAGCCACACCAAACTGTTGGCTCATATTCAGCTTGTGGTCTACAATGATTCCAAGGTCCTTCTTGCTTGTAGTATTGCAGCACCAGGTATCCCCCATCTTGTAACTGTGTGTTTGGTTTCTTTTTCCTACGTGCAGTACTTTGCACTTATCCCCATTAAATTTCATTCTGTTGTTTTCAGCCCAGTGCTCAAGCTGATCCAGATCATTTTGAATGTTGCTTCTGTCTTCCAGGATATTAGCTATTCTACCCAATTATGTGTTATCTTCAAATTTGATTAGCATTCCCTATGCCCCCTGATCCAGGTCATTAATTAAAATATTGGAGAGCACAGGGCCCAGGACTGAGCCCTCAGGCGATTGTTACTTCCACCCAGTTTGAAAAGGAGCCATTAATTATCAGAGTATGATTCTGTAGCTAACTGTATATCCACCTCACAGTTGTTCTATACAGCCCACATCTAGTTAACTCGCTAATCAGAATATCATGGGGCACTTTATAAAAAACGTTGCTATAACGTTATACTATATCTACAACATTTTCTCTGTCTGTCAGGGAGGTGACCTGATCAAAAAATGAGATCAGGTTAGTCTAGCAGGATTTGTTTCTGACAAATCCATGTTGGCTTCTAATTATTACTACATTGTTTTCTAGGTGCTTGCATAGTGACCACTTTATAATCTGTTCCAGAATGTTCCCTGGGACTGATGTCAGGCTGACTGATCTGTAATACCCTTTGCCCTTTTTGAAGATAGGGAGAACATTAGATCTCCTCCAACCATCTGGCATCTCACCCATTTCTCATGATGTCAATAAAATAATGAACAGTCAGCAGCAGCAGCATTAGCATTAGTATTATTTGTATTGTATTATTTTATTTCAAGCCCTCTGAGCTTTTTATGAAGCCCTCCTTCAAAGGGATTTTTTTTTTGCTGTCTCCCACCTTTTTTTTCTTCTTGGAATTATTTTTAGTTGTGCCTTTAGAACTTCCTGTTTTAGATACTCCCACCCTTCTTTGACTTCTTTTCTTGTTAGGATCTCCTGCCATGAGACCTTACTTATCATTGTCCTGGGTTTATTAAAATTGATATTTTTAAAATCCAGCATATATATGTGGCTGTGTTTTGGTTTCCTTTCAAATCAAGAATTCTAGTAAAATATGGTCACTCTTGCCCAGAGTTCCCTTTATTGCTACTTCCTCTACCAATTCATCTCTATTAGTTAGAATCAAGTAACTTGGCTTCCTGGTAGATTTGAGTGTTCTCATTGAATATACTCCGTATTACAGAATAGACCTTTGGCCTAGATGGGCGAGATAAAAATTCAATCAATCAATCAATCAATCAATCAATCAATCAATCAATCAATCAGTCAATCAATCAATCAATAAAAATGTTACCAAAATCTAGTCAATATTTAAAGTGATATAGTACTTTAAGAAAAATTAGTTATTGTAACTCATATTTAGTTGGACTACATGGGTGTTTCTTTAAATATATTTGCATCGAAGAACTGTTTCCACATCAGTCAGAGATATCTCTAGGTCAGCCAGAGAATGCCTGCATCTTGCCATGGATTCCTGGAAGTATTCTAAGACTCACACATGTCTCACAAACAGGCCTATTGTTCAACTTCATAGTAAGCACGGAGCACATCTTACAGCAGCTTTCAACATTCTTAGCTGTAAATCTCTCTGTTTAGAAGTGGTCAGGCCATTGTTCAGGAAAGCTTCTACCATAGTTTTCAGTTATATTTATTGAGATACACTTGATAAATAGAGATGGACATGAACCAGGAAAACAGTGGTTTGTGGTGGTTCATGGTTTGCCACTCTTCACAAACCACAATCCATTAACTTTCTAACAAAACAAATCATTTTATGGTTATGCGATTCAGGATTTCCAGGAGTAGTAGAATATCCCCACATGAGTTAGAAATGCCAAACTCACAAAAAGTCTTCAGCTAACTTTCCAGCCCACCCCCTTCACGTTTGGTCATTTCTGAGTTTGGGACATCCAAATTATAGCTCCACAAGGCAGATTCCCCCCAGGAAAGAGCACGTATAAATAGCCCTCTACTTTGCGGGGCTATCACTCAGGTGTCCCAAATCCAGTCTTCACCAAACTTGGGGGGGCTGGGGCAGAGAGTCATCTGAAGACTCTCCGTGAATTTGGCATCTCTTAACTCATTCAGGGGCTATTCTACTGCTCCTGGAAGTCCCAAATGACATGAACATCAAAGCATGCAAATTGCCAACACCGATAATAGATTGGTGTTTCATTTTGTGCTTTTCCCTGGAGTGCCTCCAAATGAACCACGAAATAGCCTGATTCATGGGGTTTTTTGCTTTATAGTTCATTTTGTGCCCATCTCTGCTGGCAAGTTTTCAAGGAATTTTAGAAAAACAGTTGAAAAATCATTGGGCTCCACCAGTTCAAGGGATTTTAGTGGGAATTCCCTTTTTAGCTTGCCTTTGTGTCTCTTCCACCTTAATGTCCTTCAAAGGGATTTCACATATTGCAATTCTGACATGAATTTGTCACAACAGAATTATATTGTAAGTAATGCAGAGGCATTTTGAGATCAAGTTACTCAACTTCATGTATATTAAAACTATTTCCTTATTGCAACTCACATTGATATTAATAGATCAAACATCCAAGAAGTGTTGGCTAAAACATCAGTATAGATTTTTCTGTAGTTTTATCATTAGGAAGATGTTTGATTTTTAAAAGCCCTGTTTTTGTTTTTGTTTCTTTCAAGGGGTACATCTATTGTTTTCGTGTTCCCCAAATCCCACCAAAATATGCACCTTCATCAGAATAAATACACAGGAAAATTACCCAATAGCAATGTTTTTACAAAGCCATCAAAAGCAATGGACTCCCCTCTTGCAAACATATGGAGGAAAGGAAAATAAAAAGTACACACACAACCTCTTCTTCCAAAAACCAAGAGTAGCAAGCAAGCAAAGAAAGATTTTAAAAATACGATCAGATTCCCACACACACACAAGAATATGGGGAGGTTTCTCTCCTCACCATGCCTTTTTGCCTTCCCAAGTTCAGTAACAGCAAGAAGACCACTTCAATTGGTTAAGTCAGGCAACAGCAAAAATAAAGGAAAATACAGTGGACCCTCTACTTACGGAATTAATCCGTATTGGAACAGTGGCTGCAAGTCAAAAAGTCTGTAGGTCGAATCTCCATTGACCTACAATGCATTGAAAACCGATTAATCCCATAACAGGCAGTTTTTATTCTATTTTTGTTCCATTTTGGCTTTTTTCTGGTCTGTAAGTCGATTCTCCGGCTGCAAGTCTAATCTAAATTTTGCGGCCAGAGAAGTCTGTAACTCGAAAAGTCTGTAAGTCGAGCCGTCTGTAAGTCGAGGGTCCACTGTAGGAGGAAAAAAATTCCCCCCCCACATCATTTTTTAAAAAAAGGATAAAAAATGAAAGGATCTAAGATAGAGGTAGATCTTGGAGCAACCCAAGATGGAGGACACTAGGAGGAGATCATCAGCACAAAAATCTCACAAGGAAGGGCTGAAGCAAAAGAACAGTCCTCAATGGTTTCCAGGCTCTTCTAGTGATTCAGAATTCCTACTGCCTCAGATGTTCTGCTTGGCAGCCGATAGCCCTTGTTGCATGACTTGCAGTGCTATTTGATGAAAAATTAAGTAGATGTTTTTACAGGCAACTGGTCAAAGAAAGGTGAAACCAATAGGGAAACATGAAAGAACACAACCTTTTTGTGTACTTTTTTGTTTAAATGATATGATTCGCATTTCGGTGACAATCTTTTGGAAATCAGTGAAAACTTGGAAAAAATGCACTTTTCATGGTTTTTTTACATTCATATCAACACTTAAGTCCGATCCCTATTCATCATATTATAAAGCTATGCTAGTGCCCATAAATACTTTGGGGGGCAGAGGGGAAGCTGAATGTGAATTTTAAAAACAAATCAACAGAACTGTGATGTTGCTCTCAGTTTTATCCAACTCTCTTACGGTATTTAGAAACCAGTAGGAATGACTTTTAGAACAAATCAAGGAAGAATCGCATGAAAGATCATAATATACCTGTCTTTCTCCCCATTATAGGTATTACCACTGTACTTACTATGACAACTATCAACACTCATCTCAGAGAAACTTTACCTAAGATTCCCTACGTGAAAGCCATTGACATGTATCTTATGGGCTGCTTTGTATTTGTCTTCTTGGCCTTACTTGAATATGCCTTTGTCAACTACATCTTCTTTGGGAAAGGCCCTCAAAGGCAGAAGAAACTTGCTGAAAAGACAGCCAAAGCAAACAACGATCGTTCCAAATTTGAAAGCAACCGGGTAGGATTGTGCATATCATCTATAAGCCTGTCTGGTTTGCTGCTCCAGTACACAGTTCAGATCACTAGAATTAAATGCACATCTTGCATGCTGGGTTGGGTGATTGACTTCTGCAGGAGCCAAATCCACATCATAACTTTTTATAAATATATTCTTAGTCATATTTTTTAAAAAAACAGGGCAGAAAAGGTACCATAATGAGCATTTATAAAGCTGCCACAGAAAATACATCTGGGAGACTGCAAACTCAGAAGCGCTGGTATAAGTAAAATATATCAGCAAAGGATACACAGATACCTGGGAATTTCTCCTTCCTTCACTGTCACTTAATGTAATTTCTGTTGCTCCAGCTACCTTTAGCATGCCTCTGAGATACAGAACCAACTAATTCATTGTAAAAGGCATTTTGTTACACGCTCAACTGTGCACTGTGTCTCCTCCTGCCATGATTTCTCAATAGCTTTTAGGGGGAAAAAAAGAAAAACATATCTTCAAGCCCAGCCATACCTGAATGCTGTCAACTTTTTTCCTAGCAGATAAGACTAGGGAAGATGCAAGGGTTTTCATTTTTTTCCCCCTTGCTGTTGTCTTTATCTGTGCTACTAAAATAAAATGACTACCTTTCCAATACAAAGCAATGTTTCTGATTGTGGGAAACAGCTAGAACAAGGCAACAAGCATGTAGTAGGACACTTCCTTGCACTCCCTCCATGGAAGCTCATGATTTATGACAATAACTCAAGATAATGTCACTCCTTTTGTAACTTTTATCGTTGTAGAGGTATAGCCTGTCTGAATTCTGGAAGAGAAGTATCACAGTTTATACTCTGTTGTGGATACTGAGGTGACTAGGATGGGAGCTTGTAGCATTCTGATCTTAATGATTGCTATTTTAGGGTTTCTGTTGGTTTTTAGGGAAAAGATGCAAGAGTCACTTTTTAAAGGTTTACTCATTAGTTGTCTTAAAATTATAATTGCATCTGAATTACATTTTACAAATAACGTTTCAAGCGCTGGTAATAACTGATGAAAGCAAACAATCCATTTAGGCAGTTTTAATAATTCAGCACGCATGTTTTTACATCAGTAGAGTAACTGATGAGTCCATCTAACATTTTATCAGCTGCATTCTAAGCACAAAAAGGAATTTGCAAAACAACTTCAGCTCTTCATAGTTTGTGAAAATGAAATACAAGACTTCCTCTGTCTATAGAGGTGCTTTAGCAGTACTTCATTATTATCGTCTGTGGTCTGTTTGCGCAATTTTTATTTTTTTTTCCTGGATGTTGGTTGTTCCAATAATATCAGCTAGAGAACTAAAGAGGTTGATTAAATAGAAATCTTCTGAGGAAGCTGTAAAACAACTTTCTCAGCCCCAAGAGTCACATTACACACATACACATATACCCCTCTTGTCAGAGGAAATTGGGAGCCTTCTTTCCACTTCCTTCCCCAGAATGGTATGAACAATTTCAGCTGGGATCTCTTACACTTTCCACACTACACTACAGACTAAATATTCCTCAATGGAGATTTTAAATATGGTGTTAGATATCGTTACATTTTAGGAATGACACACTCAAGTAGGTTTTGGTTATTAGCAGACTTCAAACAGTGAATCAAAACACTTATGATGCATTCTAGATTTGTTTCTAAATAAGCTGTGGGTTAAATCCCATGATCGTCCCATTGATTGCTGATACATAGTTGATTCTAAAACATCCTGCACCAATAAGTGCAGTTTCACGGGAGATATACTGCTGTTGGATAAATACAAATAAAACCTGTGTTAGAGCCTGTCCACACTGGCATATAGTTATTGTATATGGTTCCCTGATAGCACTGTTTGGCATGGTGGGGAGGGAAGACCTGTCTGCTTGTGTTTCTATTTAAAATTATCCATCCTTCCCCTTTTAAGAGCTTTTCTGGGACAGGGCTAGGGCATGCAATCTTTTGGGGGATGATTCTTTCAGATGCAAAATAACTCTTTGCTCTGCCTTCCCAGAAGGGTAGCAAAAGTTAAAATAGATTGCAATGAAGATAAGCACCATTTGGATCACACCAAATTCAAGTGAGGACAGACCCTTACTTCAAGCTTTAAAGGAACCTGTAAATAGAAAGTGATGTCTCTTTCAGACTTGCCTATTTGCTTTATTACCTGGCTAGTAAATCAGAGTTGTCTGTATTTTGTCCTCAATGTTCACTCCAAGCAGAAAGCTCCTACAATTAACTGGGACTTATCCTTTGGGAATCATTCTCTTACAGAATCTTCTAATGGCAAGCTAAGATCCGATAAAGCATCCAAGTGCTCTTGTTTAAGTTCAAGTGCCGCTTAAAGAAATTCTGGGTCACCGAAACATAGCTTGTATGTTAAAACAAAAAAGTAAGAAGGGTAAAGGTTAAGTATTACACTATGTAAATTATGCAGATCTTTTTTTTAATGCACACACGCAGAGACACAAATATTTCGTGGAGTGCAGTTCCAATATCCTCAAAGTGACCCTTTAAATTAACAGCATGCCAACAATAAAATGTGTATGAAATAATTCAGGCAACATGAATTACCTGCCAGTAATTTAGGATTTCTGAAAATACTAAAAAAAAAAACCTATCCTGAATCTGATATAAAGGCTGGAATAAGCAAATAATAAAGCTGCCCTGTTTCAATATTAACTAAGTCCAAACATAGCTGGCTGGATAGCTCTGTGGTTTAGGTATCTGGCTGTGAAACCAGGAATTAGCAGTTCAATTGGCCATTGTACCTCCAGGGAGAAGAGCCAGTCTGTGTAGCCTTGGGCAATCTGCACATTCCCAGGGCATCCCCAGAAGAAGAGAATGATGAACCATTTCTGTGTATTCTCTATCTAGAAAAACCTGGAAAAGATCACTGTAAGGGCACACAATCATCATCATCAGTTGTTTTAAGATCTAATATTAGTGGGAATTTCGGCGTTGTTTTTAGTGAAAGTAAGCTGCCTCAAATGTCTGTTTCATTGATATTTTTTTGTCCAATGGTCGTCCCAATGAGAACCGATGCATTGGACGAACTAGTCTGGCAACACTTATGGAAGGCTCATAGATTTCAATTGTTCTACTCATTTGGTATCAACACTGGGATTTCATTCTGTTACTTTTACATACAGTTATATTTAGGTTGACCAACTGCATAGCATTTAACTAGATCAAACACAATTTTGAATATGGAACCAAAGTTTTATTTTAATGTACTTCATAGCAATTGTAGATTTATTCTTTGGAGTTAGGCAGTTGCTCTGAAGCAAGAGTGTAAAGTCCTTCAGTGGAGAGGCTCCTGAGACAGGTGAAGCATTTCTCTATTCCACTAGCTAAGTTCTAGCTGTGTTGAATGCTCCTAGACAGAGAGTCCTCCTTGGTCTACATCACAGCTGGCATGCAAGGCCCCAATCCTCCTTATCTTTCACTTCGGAATGAGCTGCTACTTTATTTCAAAGACAATTTTTCTGCATTTGGCTTTGGGAGGCAATCAAAAATGTTCTAAACACCAGTTAGATTTATGCCCTAGTCTACAGGATGCTTTGCACACTAATAAGGTACATGGAGCTATGTGGAGGATAAGTCTGTCCACAACTATTGGTTCGGATGGATGCCCTGCAGATTTGAGGAACAGAACAAGCTTTCTGATAGTTCCTGCTTTATTAAAGATAGCAATAAAAAAGAAGCATCCATAAAAAATCAGGTACTATTATTTGTTTCTGCAGAAACAGAAAATCATGCTCAGTAGAATTCAGGTGATTTAGTATTTGACAGAATTGGAATCCAAAACTGGGCCACAAAAGAAACAAGAGGACGGTATCAAAATATGGTGTCACCAGTGAAAGCAAAAGACTTCCTAGCTAAACCCTGCATTTCTAAAAGAGAGTGAGGATATAGTGCAAACTTGGGGCTGAGGCCAATGTTAATCCTGCCTGCAGGAGACACACGGAAGTGAGTGAGCAAATTACTTACAAATGCAACTAGCATTCATTTCACTGTACCTGCTTTAAGCAGATCTAGCACTAGATTTAGTCCAGTATTGTTTTACAGTTATGGTATGGATACAATTCTAGAGGAGAATCCTTTTCAATACTAAGTGAGCAATAGAGAAAAGAAGCCACAGTGGAAGTACATTCAGAATTAAGAATACGGGTTTCAGTGGATAAGTACACCAAAATCTGTTTTTGGAAAAAGACTTATGAAATGGGCAGAATTGAGATATGAAGAAGCCCAAACTGTTGATGTTTGCTGGTGCTTAAGAGAGATATGTTCCAGCGTCTTTTTAAAACAGAGACTGTTAAGGCTGGAGTAAGCCATTTCGGACATTTATGAAGAGAGGTATATGTTATGAATAAGTGTAACTTGTATTGAGATATGAAGAAGCCCAAACTGTTGATGGTTGCTGGTGCTTGAGAGAGATAAGTTCCAGCGTCTTGTTAAAACAGAGACTGTTAAGGCTAGAGTAAGCCATTTTGGACAATTATGAAGACAGGTCTATGTTATGAATAAGTGTGTCTTTTATATTGTATTTATCATCATGGTGAACAATATTGTCATTTCCATATCACTGTTGTGAATCCTAATGAATTACTGTAACTGGGAAAAAGTGGTATATTGAGATAATATTTCAGCAGTGTTTTCACTGAGTTTTTGTCATTGTTAATAACTTTATTGTGCTCCCAATTGGATGTGATTATTAAGTAGTGGGCAGAATCCTACTGGTCTCACACAGTGTAACTAGGCCATCACACATGCAGACCCACCTGTAGTGCTAGTCGAGCAACTGGCTCCTAAATTTTCTCAAGTCAGAAAAGCAGTTGTGTGCCCACTTGTTTACACAGTTGCACAACCAGTAGTAAGCAACTGCTGCATGATTGTTTTTCCTAATACTCTTTGGTCGGTGTTATGTATTTTTTAACTTGTTGAAATAATTATCAACTCCTATTATTTATGGATTTCTTTTTGCCTAGGTGGATATGCATGGAAACATTTTGCTAACATCCCTCGAAATTCACAATGAAGTTGCAAGCAATGAAGTCACTACCAGTGTCACAGATCCTCAGAATTCAACCATATCCTTTGACAACTCAGGTATCCAGTACAGAAAACAGAGCTCACATCGAGAAAACCTTGGCAGGCGCACATTGGACAGAACTAGCACCCACAGCAAGAAGAGTCATTTACGGAGAAGGTCTTCTCAGCTAAAGATAAAAATTCCTGACCTAACAGATGTGAATGCCATAGACAGATGGTCCAGGATGGTGTTCCCATTCACATTTTCTCTTTTCAACTTAATCTACTGGCTATACTATGTCAACTAAACTGACTTCTACTTTTTTTAAAGAAAAGACTTCGACAAGCAAAATAGTATTCTGCCTGTTATTTTGTATTTGTACATAAGAACTTTTACAGACTATATATAATATATATATATACATACATACATACATATATCTATCTATCTTTAAAAACTATTAATGTGTGTACATATATTGTGAAAGAATGTTTATTATATCCATTGGGCATACACATATACACTATAAATATACATACACACACCCACCTTCCTATGGATGTTAATGGATAAATTCACACAGAATGCACTTAAATGAACTTCTTTTAAAAAAAAGAGAGAGAGGCAACAATTTTGAGTACAATAGGCTTTGAGAAAACAAGTGTTGCATAAGACCACAAAATAGGTTTTCTGATCTCTAGGATTCCATCTCATCAGAAATTTGTAAAACTGTTTGCCAAAACTATTATTTATACTGCTCATTAACTGACACAATTACACTGTTAAGTTTATAAAGTAATTTATATTTAATATCACATTTCAAATAATTGATCCATGTTGGTTTTGTGTTCTCATGTTTTGTTTTGTTTTGCTTTACATATTCTCTTAAATAATTTTATCTGTAGTGAAGTGGACATTTTTCAGCAATCTTTACATTCACATAGGGAGAAAAGAAATGGATTTGTTCATCCACCTTCAGGATCTTTTCAGCAATGAGGAGGAGTGTCTTTTAATGAGCACTTCCAGTGCACAACAGAATGGCCAGAATCCTATTCAGTAGGTTCTTCCTTCCCAGTGGGAATGATGCCATTGTCTGTGACAGATTGCCACAGATTAAAGACTTCTCTTTTTTTCAATTGTGGGTTGCATGCAATTTCATCTCAGTAGCTGAAATCTTGTTTGTGATGTAAGCCAAAGCGTAACATTCCTTCAATTCTGCTGCTGCCATGATTGTGGGTTCTGCTGCTGCCAAGATTCTCAGGGGCCAGAAGCACATGTACCACTATCCCCGAGAATTGCAACAGGAGCACCTTGTTTCTTAGGGAGGAACAGACAGAACATTATGATTTGGTTTAAGTTATAAACAAGATTTCCACCACTGTTGCTCCCTGACCCAAAATCCAAAATAAAAGGCTTTAATCAGTGGCAAATTGCTCCTGAAATGATATCATTTCCATTGTGCAAGTGGAGCTGCAGAAGAGAATTTCAGCCAATATTTTAGCTTGAACTTCTCTTCAATCACTATGATGTTTTGATGGGGCAGCATGTTATTACAGGAATGTTGCTTGAAATGAAAGCATTGCTGATATTTTTCAGGATTTTACTATGATTTGGGCATAATGTGTTAAAAAGTAATTTCCAACCCGTAATTTTGAAATTTAATATTTTAGGTACTATAGCTCAACACTGGTACTTTAAATAACAAGGTCTCACGTTACAATAGGACCACAGTATATATGGGAAATCAGTTCCAAGTCACACCACCCTGGATGCTGAAAAACAGAATATTGAGCGCTACACACTGCATGGTCTCTGGCTCCCTTTACTGGCCAGTTCTGCTAAATACACTCTGAAAATACATATAAATAAGTATTTCTTGGATTTTTTTTTAATTTAGTATTTTTAGCCAACAGATAAATGAATCAGTAGATACTGATCCAATGGCTAGGGGAGTTCTACTGTACTTCATGTCATTATATTTAAAGGTTGCCTATTTTTTGGCTATATTCAGTAATTTTAATTGATTGTTTTAAATTAAAGGAACAAATTAATTCTTTTTTTGATTGTAGTAATGAAGTTTTTAAAAGTACTCACTAAAACCAATTTCAGTTCTTTCTCAACTTAGTGTTAATATATAATGTTCAACACTAATCTTTGAAACACTTTTTTAAAGAGTCAAAATCTAGCTGAATTAGTAAAACTCACACAGGTGCTGACTCTCCATGTTCACATTGATTCAGTGGGTTTACTCTGTTTGAGACTAACAAGTGGTCTTAGGCCAAAGTTATCAACACTTCTTCTATTCAGGACTATTTTAACCTGAGGATATTCTTTCCTGAGAATATATTGGCATGCCTTGATGTTATTGCTGGCCTTCTTCAAACCATCTACAGGACAGCTAGTACCCCAAATTCCATTACAGAGGATGGTGGAAAGAAACAGCCAGATGAGATCAGTTCAGGAAAAGAGAGAGAGAGAGAGAGACCATTTCTTCTCAGCTTTTCTCTGCCACGGAGCTTTTCAAATGACCAAATGCCAACCAAAATTCTTTCTTTCTTTCTTTCTCTCTTTCTTTCTTTCTTTCTCTCTTTCTTTCTTTCTTTCTCTCTTTCTTTCTTTCTTTCTCTCTTTCTTTCTTTCTTTCTCTCTTTCTTTCTTTCTTTCTCTCTTTCTTTCTTTCTTTCTCTCTTTCTTTCTTTCTTTCTTTCTTCAGAAAATGCATTCATATTATCTAACATTCTTAGGACATGATTAATGTAATATATATTTGCATAATATGCATATATATGAATATTTTATCCAATATTTTTTTCTAGCACCTGCTACTGTGACTGCATGCTATATCATACTTTTGTTTCTGTGATGTTCTCCTTCTCTAGAATTAAGCCAATAGAGTACTTCTAATGTAGAAATTCAGTAACAAAACATTTTCATATCTATTTTGTACATATATTATATAAACTAAAGATTGCTATTAGAGTTGATATGCTACATTCACAAACCGTAAACAGAAAACAAATGTCTTGCCTAAGCATTAAATACATTCAGTCCTTTTCCTTATGTGAAATATTGCCACTTTTGTTCCTGCTCTGATTGACATCCTCATCACTTCTAAACTTTTCCTAAATGGTGGATTCTGTTAGAGTATACGCATTTCAGTGCTGCAAACTTAGCATACATTTGAACAAAGTATTTCTAATAATGTTCATCTATGAATAATTTGTCCCCATGAATAGAATTTACTACAAACAAGAATAGCACAGTTTCCTTTACAGAAGTAGTAATGGCTTTTGTCTTTTCGTTTTGTTTCTTTAAAAACAATTTTTTTTTACTTTAGAAAAAAATGCAGTGGCCCCAATCTGGGTGTGAATGTTTGAGGGCTCAGCACTTTCTGTAGAGCCAAAAAGTGATAAGCAACGTGAGTCTTAAAAGGAGATAAGAGAAAATGGACTGAGCAGGCATTTGGTTGCAGTTCACCAGTTATATACACCATCCATTTCACTATGGCAGCTTGTATTAGAGAAGTGATGTATGGGTTCATCAGAAGCTTCAGGTAGCTTTACAGAGAAGAATGAACATTGGTATTGCCTCCTATAATACTGGTAGATAAAGGACAACTTCCTATGTTATAGGAATGCTATTTATGAGTTGTTCCCATGTGAAATGGTCTACTGTTGAACAGAGGTGAAATCCAATTGTCACACAAGCAGAAACCCACTTACACAATGGTGCTTCCTTCCTTTCTCCTATTCGCCCTCTAAATTTGAGTGACAAAAATATAATTTGTGTAGCTGGCCCAGTGATTTGGGAGGAAAAGGTTTTTCCTTATTAAAAAGGTCGTTTGACATTAGGTGGAAGAACTGAAGCCCACTGTGAATCTGGTTCAGAGTCCATTGATGGTAGGTGTACCAGGTCTCAGAGTTTCGCCTAGAGTCTCAGGGAATTGTGATGCTTTTCCATCTCTCCAAGTGGAGAGGCAAATCTCAGGGCAAGCAGTGCTGAAAGAAAAGAAAGTTTTATTTTTTGTGCGTGTTCATAAAGTAGCTTTAAAGGCATGGCAGTCATCTCCTCTCGTTCCCAGCTACCACCAGAACTCACTGGCCTAGCATGAAAGCATTCCTGTGGTTGCGATTCCCATTCAAGATTAGTGGCCCTCAAAGCCAGGAGTAGTGGGGAGGACTAGAGACAGACCCCATGAGCGTGCGCACTTGGCCCATCATGCCATTTGCAACAAGGTAGGGAGCAGAGTGCAACTTGTGAGACTTTAACACAAGGCCACACCCTTGTGACATCATAAGGATGTGCCCTCTGTTCTCAGACTTTGCCCTGAAGTCTCATGGAATGGGATGCTGCTGGTCTGGAACCCTGGTTGATAGGCATGTGTTTGGGGAACTAAAATAAGTGTCCAAGTTACTTGCTAGGGACCTTTGTTTTTCTAGAAGAATGGCTATAAAGTAATGCCAAAATGGCTCAGCAATCCAGTTCATTTTGCTGCCTTACAGAAACTTCCACTGAAACTACTAGTCTCAGATATGAAAAGGCTGTTGAAAGTAAAAGCTGAAGCAATCAATACAGCCCCGTAAAAACATTGTTCATTTAGAATGTGGAGATTTATGCTGAAATACTTAAGAGACACCAGGCAAGGGTTGTCTGTTTTTGCTATGAAGTCTGTAAATAAAGATACTTTTTTCTTGTGGATATTTTGACTGGTCTATCTCAGTGAGATTGAAGGTTAATTGGAAACATTTGCAAAGGAATGTCAGCCATCTCTAATTTAGGCTCCAACATTGATTTGGGACAGTATGATACATAAAACTGTTTATAATATATGTTACTTAATCCTGAGCATATTAATTTGAGACAAAACCTGCATAGCTAAATTTTGCATGTGGATGTTTAAGACCAGAATCTTGCTGCTTTTTTTACCCATGCATGTGTGCAAATGCAGAAGTTGTAGAAGCTAACTGAAGCTAATTAATTAGGTGCCCATTGCTTGATTTGTGCAATCAACACATGACCAAGCATGTGACTGGCACCTCATTGGTTAAACTCCAATTGTCATTGTGACGTCTCCATTTTTTGTTTCCATGTATGTAAAATATCAGTAAGATTCTGGCCAAAATCTTGGTTTCACTGAAATAGTGGGATCAGACAGTCTTAAATACATTGGCATCAGTTTCTTGGGAAGGACTGAAGCCAGAATCAGGTTGTGGAAAAAGCAAAACAGAATCTAAAAGGTCGTAGAATTATAAAGTAAAACTCCTGCTCACATTATTTGCAGGTCAACAGTTCTGCAGAATATAGATGAAATAACACTAGACAGAAAAGTATAATCAGACCACAGAATCTGGCTGAAGGCCGTAAGAAGAAGAAAAGACTCAAAAGTGTTAATCCAGTAGCAGCTGACATGTTTGTGGGATAGGAAACTTCTGAAGATATTAAACTTCTGATAACTGGCCCTCAAAAATGCTGTCCATTTTCACCATGGACATTAACGTAATAAATCAAAATAGTGATGCTACTCAAGCTGGTTAGTGTATATATGGCCTAGATGCTAGATGCAGCTGAGAGAGAGAGAAAGAAAGAAGGGCTACATTTAGTGTCTAGGGTTGTTTCCATAGACAGACAGACAGACAGACAGATAGATATAGGTATATAAAAATCACTATTTTGATTTGTAATGTTGCTATCCATGGTGACAATAGATAGCATTTTCATGACTACAATTTAGGAAACCAGAATGGTCTCATTTAGTTTTTGACAGGAGCATCTATCCCCCTGGAAGGGCTAGAAAAGAATCCTGCCGGAAACTTTGCAACCACTAGCACAACAGGGCTTGCACTGGAACACTGAAATTATTGGATACAGACCAAGAAACTTAGGCCAGTGACTATGAAGGCTGCATTCCCTCTTCCCTCACACAAAGTCAACAGATTTTGTTGTATAATGTATAATAATACTTTTTGGAATATATGTTTGGAATTGTTTAACTATGGCTCCCAGATGTCTTCCACAATTTACCTAGCCAGACTTCTTGGGGCTTTAGGCTAGACATCAAAATCTTCACAGCTCTTTTTAATTTATTTCACATGGAGACTGGAGGGTCTGTCTCAGCCATGCTGCTGAGTCTATGAAGATGGAGGAAATGGCTTGGAAGGCTAGGCTCCATGGGACCTGCAAGGCATTAAGGGTCTGGTAATTTCCTTCCTGATTATACTCTGTACAGGGTGCCTCTCGATGTACAACCACCCCCTTAATGCTTTGCAGCTACTTGTGTTCTTTCTTATAAGTTGCTGTAAAAGAGTGCTATTCAGGAGTGGTTTGCTACTCTATGGCCTCATTTATTCTCATTGACATTTCTGTTACTTGATTATTATTTTTAGATGATTCTTATAGAATTCCTTACTTTAATAGAAACTGTGGCCCTAAATACTAGATATGTTATCGTTACCAGTGTCTGTCACCTCCTGACTGGAAGATACAGTAGACTACAGACAGAGAGCCCCTAGGAATGGACACAGCAGAAAGACAGTAGAACTGGCTGGTCAAGGAGGCACACAACAATGCTAGCAGCTAATCTAGGGGAGAGAGCAGGGCAGACGGACTAGTGGAATATCAATGTGGGACAATTTTATTTGCAATTGGTGAATGAAAGTGATGAGTGAGGAAAACATGGACGAACACAGAAGATCCATGTCTCATTCATCATTAGTATTTTTGCGACTTTCTTTCAGAACAGCTGAAAACCAGTGTAAGATTCTTCTGTGTTGTCATTTTTCCTAACCCAAAAATTTCCATACTGGTGACTTCATACAAATTGATCAA